AAAAAAAATGTGATGAAGGGCATATAAATTTCACAAACTATTTGAGAAAATAGCCCTAAAACTGTGATCCTATAAATTTTTATTTCATATTTTTCCTGCAGGGCTTTAAAAAATTAAGAAGCTGCTCGAGTTGATAGTTGAACGCTTTGCTCAACCATTACAACTGCTATCGCAGCCTATTATTTTGCTGTTCATTCTAATTATAAATTATTAATGGAATTTTACTAAACCTTTCTATGATATGTGTGTGTGCACTGGTGTAACTTTAAACTCAAGCCCCTTTCATTTATCGCTGCGCCATATAATGCGCCTTCTAATAATACTAGGCGCAAAAGTACTATACGCATGGGCAAGTGTGTCCAGCTGTGTTGGCTTAAATTTAAGGCTTATTTGTTTATTCATTTTGTAAGTTTTTTTTTTTTTTTTAAATACACTGCAAGATGTTTGCTTTTTGCCTTTGGATACCTTCATTGCAACATATGGGATATGCATTTGCTTAAAAATCTTTTCTTATTCAAAATGAATAATGGAAGAATTGCTTCAAAAAATCAATTTAATAGCTTGTTTAGGCTTTTACTGCAATGGTCCATGGATGGACCCAAGGGACTAAATATCGTGGCGTGGATATGTTTATGCCGCGTGTTACATTTGTCGACTTTTTGGGAAAGCAAGATTGAAGTTTGGAATTTATTTTCTCAAAAACGCTACGAAAATATTTGTCAAAAGTGGCTAGTGAATATTACTTGTTCACGAAATTCTTAAAATATTATTAATTAATTACTTAAATTATTAAAATTTTGTTTACCACATATGCACATTAGGGTGGTCCTTAAAAAGATCAAATGAACGATTTTTTTTCAGTTTCACCCCCTCAATCGGTAATACCAGGGTCTCAGACATCACATATAAATTTTACTCCCGATTGGAGTCGTTTATTCTGATGATGGCATGTATGTAGTATGTATCTAGTATTAATTAGATATTAAAAATATCGCTTTGAACAAAATTTTAGAACCACTACGAATTGTTAGCTTTAATTGAAAAAAAAAAAACACTTAAAAACACGCGTCTAACCAACGGCTTATGTCACTTGTTATCGTGGCATTTGTCTTGGATATACAAACAAATGCTTCGCAAAAGCGTGCACTAACGAAAGAATGCGCTAGCTGAATTGTTTCATGGCGGGATTCCCGAGGTTGAATGCACTTTGTAAAATGCGCGTTGCTCGTTCGTATGTACACCTGCGAGCATATAATTAGAAGCAATTTGTCTTTACTAGTTGTGACCATTACTTTTGTCTTTATTAGTTTAATTTTTTTTTACGAAAATATACATAGTTCATACTACACTACTAATTTCTGAGAATTCTCAATTTGTTAGCTTCTACTGTATTTTTCCGAAATATTTTAGCGCAAGTTTTACATAGTAAAAAATTTTATATTTCCGGTGAAAAAACAGTACCGATTTTTTTTGCATGAAAAGTGATGCACCCTAACGTACATATGTATATATGAAATTTCATTCAGTTTTCAGTGTAGCTTTTTAATAAATCTGACATAGTTTCTCTGAATTCCTAAATATTAAAATGCAAAGAATTTGACTTTTTAGACTGAACAGTCCAAAATTCGCAACCACGCTGAATGCTGAATTCAGGTAAAGTTGCGCAGACTGGACATTTTAATCTGCAATATAAGAGACTGCTGCTTTGCATTTTTATATATTTTTGAATTCAGAATTTTTGAAACCCCCCGTTCTAGGACTACGAGTGATCAACTAGTTTGAACTTTTGTTCTGGGGTATTAGTGTCGGAGCAATGTATGTAGTTTGTTTGGTTTTTTTTTTTAAGAAGAAAACTTCAAAAAAAAATTATAAAATTATAAATTAAATAAAAAATAAACACGTCCATAAACCTAGCTGACCCAAGTCGCCAAAAATCAATAAAAATTAGCTAGGAATTAGGTGTCTTTTAGGAGTTAATTAGGGCCTCCAAAATTAATTTAGGTGTTCCTTTGGTTTCCGAGAAATTCGCAAAAATGTGTGGGTCAGCTAGGTTTACGTAAACCTAGCTTACCCATCGTTAAATTTAGGTTTTAAATTTTCCAGATATATGCTGGAATTAGGTATCTTTTAGGTGTTCTTCAACGCCACTAAAACCAATTTAGTAGCTCCATTGGTTTCCTAGAAATTTGGAAAAATGTGAGCTAGCTGAAAAACACATTTTTGCGAATTTCTCGGAAACCAATG